TGTATGGAAAGTGAATTTGCTCTGTAAACCTTTACCCAAATCACAATTTTAAAAAACCTGTAACGGGAATGCAGTGCAACTGTCATTGTTAGCTGCCACAGAGTCAGCCCTGATTCAAGTAATCCTGTGTGTTAAGAACAGACAAATCCTCCACAGGGTTTTCTTGGCTATAATCTTTACTGTAGTAGTTAAGCAGGCCTTTCTTCCAAGGAGGCACTGGGTAGGTCTGAACTGTCAATCTTTAGGTTAGCAGCCAATCACAAACCATTTACATCACCCAGGCTCCCTGAGTAAACTACTGTTAGTTGCCATCAAACTGATTCCAACTCACAGCAACCCTATGTGTGCAGAGAACTGCTCTATAGTGTTTTCAAGGCTGTGGCTTTTTGGAAGCAGATTAGACCTGTCTCCTGTGGAGCTGTAGCATGGGTCCAAACTGCCCATCTTTTTGGGTAGTAGTGAAACGCCTGAATCATCCAGGGACTCCCTGAGTGTAAATTAGAGGTGCTTTTGAAAATTGCTGAAGAGGCGTATATGACCATGAGACCAGAACTAGATGGTGTCCTGCTACCAGTCAACCACTCAGAAAGCGATCAGTGCAGGAGATCCTGGATACAGTGGGAGAACAATGTGGAACAAAACTCAAAATCATAAAAAAAAGACCAGGTTTGCTAGTCTAATAGAGGATGGTGAGATCCTCGAGACTACGACTCCTAGTTACCCTTCAGGCCTGGAGCTGAACTCACTCCCATGACTTCCAGCCAAACAACAGACAGGCATATAGAGTGAACATTTACATCAGATAGATATACTCCTTAGAATGCTCAAAGATGGAAGAACAGAAGGGCAGTATTTGCCCTTCTGATAGCCTTCTGAGATAGCCCAGGGGGTAGGAATGCATAGGAAAGGGCACAGGGAAGAGGTAACTACGGGGAGGAAGTGGGAAGAGAGCTGTTATATGGTGGGTACTGCAGTCAATGTCATGAAACAAAATGTTTATCAACTGCTGTATGGAAAACAAATTTGTTCCGTAAACTTTTACCCAAATCACAATAAAAAATTTAAAAAATTCTGAAGAGGAAATAATACCTGAAAAAGTACATTTCTGATTCTTTGAGACTCTATGATTAAACATTTAAGTTTTAATTCTGTCAAATTTCTTATCTTCAGAATCAAAAAAAGAACAGTGTAATTTTCTTTTCCATAGTTAGGGCTGCTTAAACTTATTTCACACATGCAATAATTCTCTGTACTTTTTTTAAAATTATATAGCAGTTTATTCTTGGAACACATGTCCCACCTACAAGGGGATGAGGAGATATTTTCTTTGTCCTATCACTGACATTATTTTGTACCACGGCACCCGAAAAATGCTACTGGTTTTAAAGAGAAACTCACTGTTTTTTTAAGTCCAATTATAAGTTACCCTTATGCCTGGTCCATCTTAGCTTAGTTTTCTTATAAGATGTAAGCCAGAGTGATACGTTTTGTGTCATGTATTCAGTAGGCAATTGATAAATATTGGTACATTTAATACTATTATAATTTCTTCAGGCTCTGATTCACAGGGCTTTATTGTTTAACTTCAAAGTGCTTATTTCTCTTCCTTGATCAACTTCCACTTCAGTTTCACATGGGACTTGTTCCCACTGTACTTACTGCTAAAGGAACCCAAACGGTCCATTCTCTAATTGTCAAAGACTGCTGCTTTGATCTTCTTCAATGTAGAATTTCTTCAAGGAGATTTCAGAACTGGCCACCACACACCAAAACTTGATGAGCCCCTATGAACAAACAAACACAGCACACGATTCAGGAAATAACTCAAACAGACAATGTAAAGAAAAGATAATGCAATGTATTCAGTTTTACAATGTCCTGGCTTTATTGTGCTGAGTAAATTATTTTAGCTAAGCCTATGTCCTCCTTCTATAAAATGGAGTGTATTATCTACCTCCCACAGTTGTAAGAATTATTATCACTATCATTATCCATATAAATAATACAGCACAGTGCCTGGCCCATACTTTCCACATTCTATTTTGTGGCAATTAACTTCTATACACGTATTTTTTTCCACTTCTAGATTACATTAAACGAAAACAGTGACAATATCCAACACAAATTTGTATGACTTCAAGTACCACGCATCACGTCAAGCACCTAGAAGAAACGCAAAAAAATGCACATGGAATGGACAAATAAATGTCAGCTCTATAATAAGTTAATCTGTGTCTTTTGTTCTCCAGAAATGAATTCTTTTACTTATTTTTAGCAAGGGCAGTTAACTCATTAAATGTTGGCAACATTCAGACAATGTGTCAATTAACTTTTCCTTTGTGTGTGTGTGTGGGGGGGGGGATGTTCTTGCTCTGCTAAACTCCTAGGACAAGTTGGTCTTTGAAGAAAAATGACTTTAGCAAGAGATATAACACATACAATAATAAAATAAAGGCTAACATTTATTGAGCATTCCCCAAGTCTGTGTGGTGCAAATGGTTAACATGCTCAGCTGCTAACTGAAAGATGTGAGATTTCAGATCACCCTGAGATGCCTTGGAAGAAAGGTCTGGAGACCTACTTCCGAAAAATCAGCCACTGATTCTACTCTGGCACACATGTGGTCACAATGTGTCCAGGTCAACTCTACCACAAATGATTTAACTAATGATACTACTGAATATAAATTATTTCTTTTGAATTTTCACAACCCTCTGACATGCTTTTTCAAAGGAGTGTCTGAAAAGGATTGTTACTTGCATAATGTCTTACAGGTAGTGACCTTGGTGCCATTTCAACTGTGGTTACCTGAGATGGTCAAGTAAAGGATGTATAGAACACACTCTGATAAGCCATTGGCTATTTGAACTCTGTCGTCATAAACACTGTACTGCAATAAACAAAGTCATTTCTCTTCCTCCCCTTTCTTTTCACAACAGACCACATTTTCGACACTAATATCCCTGAGAAGATAGGTGCCCAAATAGCATTTGCCAAGTTCAAATAAGTTACTGGGAGGAGGTAGGAAGAAAGGTATTCTGAGGCACGGGATTCAGGTGGTACACAGCAAAGACTCAGGATTTGGAGTTTTCTAAATAGGGATTCGAATCCTCACGTCATTCCTTCTTAGTGGTGTAATCTTGGGCAAGTCATTTTATCTGAGCCTCAGTTCTCTTCAGCTCTAAAATGGCGCTAAAATATCGACCTTGGAAGGCCTACATGAAAATTCAATGCGGTAATACTGGTCAGGGGCATGAAACACAGCTGTTATTAGTGTTTTGCGCTCCACTACGAAGACCAGAAAACGAAGGATTCGGCAATGAGGTACCGCCCACCAGGCGAGGCGGGACACTCCAAGACGCGGGGCGGGGCTGTAATCAGGCCCGGCCCCGCACCGCCCTCCCCAACAGCGTGGCATGGCCTGGCGCCGCCGGTCTTCCCGCCGTATCTCTTCCAGAGGTACGGCTCGCACCCCTTTCCGCCTTCCCCGCTGCCTCTCGTCCCTGCTTCCCCCTCGTCCCGTTAGAGGGTGTCACGCCCCGCCGCCCATCAACCCTGGCGAGCCTCGCGTCTCACCTCGCCGCGTCCCCCTCCTTCGCGCCGAGGAGACTCAGGCCGCGCGCGCGCCCTTCGACTTGCGTGCTCGCTTCCGGGAGACGCAGGCGCGAGGGCGCCGAGCGCCCGCCACCGCCCCTTTCTCGGCCTCCGCCCCTTTCACCCACTTCTCACGCCCCTGTAGACCCACCGAAGGTCCGCGCGACCGCCACCGCTTGCTCTACCAATTCCCCGGCCTGCGACGCCGTTCCTCTGACTTTTGAGTCCGACCACTAGTCATCAGTATTCGTGTGACGTTTTGCCTGTCGCCAGAGGCTTCCCTGTGCTTGATGCCCCTTGAGCCTCTTCACAGCGCAGTGAGGTGGGCCGGGCCGGTACTATTTTGATTTGTGCTTTTAAGATTGAAGATGGTGGGAACTGATTTTCACATCATTTATGCTAATGGGAGCTCTGGTAGCATAGTGGCTAAGACACTTGCCTGCTAACCAGATGGCTGGCAGTTCAAACCCACCAGCCACTCCTCGGAAGGAAGGTTGGGCAATCCTACTTCCGTAGTGATAACTGCCTCGGAAACCCAAGG